TGATGGCATTGGATGGCTATTGTCGTTGAAGAAGTTCTGTTTATTCCCTCTTCCGATTGCCAACATGAAGCTCAAGCACATCCAACATCGGATCGTCTTGGATTATCACAAGATCCGATTGCCAATAGGAACCACTTCTTCCAAGGAATTTCATCAGAGCTTCTTTCCGGGGGGTCTTGTGTTTGGATGTGTTTGGGCTTTGTGGCTGCTTGGTGCAGTTCATCCTTCTATTTGTTCTTGAAACCATGAGTGGACAGCACATGAGGCCTGAGTGAGCAGATGAGCACCACGGAGCACGTGCTGAGTGAGCAGATAGCGCCGACCACTGACGGGTGCGACGAAAGCAAGGAATGAGGGTGGCTGGATGCTAAGGAATCTCTATTAAGCATTATTCCCTCTACCCAATAGCCTTCATGACTTCTACCACTTTCCTTTACTATGATGCTAGGTATTTAGCAGATGAGCCAGGCGCCTCCCTACGACTAAGCCTTTCGGGTGGCACATCTGGCCTCCGTCGGTCTTCGACCGGCCACCTCCGGGTGCCACCGGAGGTAGACAGGTGTTCCACCTAAGTGAGCCCCTTCGGAACAGAAACGAACCGAAACTAACGTCATGTTTCTTTTTTTGGCGGGGGCATGCAGGCTGATGTCGTAAGCTGCACCTTCAAGCTGAATAGTGATGAATTACATGTGATGACTGTAATTTGGGTCGACCAAAAGTGAACAATCTTTGTTGTTCCTCATGGTCTTTACTTTCTCATCACCAAGAAACATGTTCAAGATCGATGTAGGCACCATATACTTTGTGCCTGCGGATGGTCAAACACATGTCAAACCCTATAGGGCTCCAACCACATCCTCAGAAGGTAGTTAGACCCCCCAAGCCCACCCCAACCACCTTCGACTTCGGATGTGGTTGGAGCCCTAGGAAATATAGATAGGCTTGGTGTGCCCCCTCTACACTTCTTAATGCATCGAACATGTATATGTAGAGGTAGGGACTTGCTAGACTGGCCAAACTATGGGGTAATCCCCGAATTTGGCAGAAGCATCTCCACATCCTTTGCCGAATGAAGCAGGTTTGTGAAACACTCACCTCTTGCCAGGGACCTTGAAGATGGATCTATTGCTTGCATTGGTTTTGAAGTGCCAAAATTCAGCCTCAGACATGTTTTGAGCGTCGTTTCTTCTTCTACAGTATGCAGTATGCTAAAGTATTCAGGACAAGGATCTCTGATCTTCAACTGCTGAAAATGTTTTGTTTCCCGCGTGGTGGGCTTTGTTGCATTTTTGCATGGCTTCATTCGAGCTTTTCGCATGGAATGACTTGTATTCTAGCACCATGTTTGGCGAACATCTCCTGGTTTACAATCACACTATACATGACTGTACTGTACATACATGCGCTGTTGCTGCTGAAGGAGGTAAGTGTGTGTTTGATATTGTTTGATAACCCTGCAGGCTACCAGACAAAACAGCTTGATTGTACTCTGATGACTGAGGTGGTATGTTTATGAGTTCTTTGGGAAAGGACATAGTTTGAGTATAGGTGTTGCTTCAACACTAGAGGTGGCGAATGCGCCCAAGCAGGCAAGCAAGCAATCGATCAAACAGAAGAGCAAACAATCCATCAATTCTAGCAATTATGTATGCATGCGTTTTGGCAATCTTGCCATTGCGCCTTGTGCTTTCACAGTTTAGGGCTGGCCAAAGAGGCACAGCAAGACGATAGCAGAAGTTTGGCTGGAGGGTCCGCAACTCCAAATCAAGAAATTCCCGCTGTGGCCTCCGAAGCCAGGGAGATTCCTTGAGTCCTCGCCGATTCCATCTCTTCGAAGGAACATCGGCCAAGAACATCCGCTTCGGATGGAATCGTTTCCTTGAGAAGAACATGGAAAACGATTCCATCTCTTCGACCGAAGACAGGAACCGAGTCGACTCGCACCCAAGAGAGCCCAGACACGACGGACTGCCATGCGACTGCCATAGGACTGGCACCCCTCAACCCATCCCAACTGATCGGCAGAGATGGTAGTCCCAGACAGGTCGTGTCTGGGTCGAATGGAAATCGGTAGATGTTGGGTCTGTCCGAACGGATCGGTAACTGATCTGTGAACAATTAGTGCCCATTTTTGAACAAGGCCTGCAACTGAACCATCATCCATTGTTACAGGTATTAGGATAGATCCGTATAAACATGTGTACATACTGTATATATATATATGTGCAATAAATACTGTAGATGTCCACCAGGATCTTCCAATAGTATACCTGGATCTTCCAATGGTGCCGAATTTATGCCTTTTCATCTATATAACTTACCAAAAGGCACAGACATGGCACAGTTGGAGGATCTAGGCATGGAACCTGATGGCATGAACCAGGCTGGAAGACGATTTTCCGAATACCAACCCGGGCGTGGTTTTCAGGTTCCATGTGGGCCTCTTTCAGAGTGCAATGTACGGTAGATGTATATGGTTCAATGGAGTGGTTCAATGGATGTTTTGTGGAGAAACTGCCGCCCCGGGCTTGCCCGGATCCTAGTTGGATATACGATGATAAGACGAATCCAAGCTTCCTTGGGTTGAAGTTCATTTGCTGACCCCCTTTGTTGCGACCCTCCAGGAAGCCCCTCTCCCTCGCGGCGCGCGGTCAGATGTGGGGGCGTGTGCCAGCCGTTGATGTTGAGGTTGCAGGTAGCCAAGTATCTTGCACCCTCAGACCTGGGGATGAACAGTGTGGAACTGCCAGTCACTGGGGGCCAAGTACCTTCTCAGAAGGTACTTAAGACCCTCCAAACCTGCATATCAGTGTCTCCAATCACCTTCTGAGAAGGTACTTGGATCCCTAGGGGCCTATCGAGGCACTGCACCAAATTTTGATTTGTTTTGAGCGGGCTTCATGCAGTCCACTACATGTTCACCGCCCGTACCGTGACTTGTCAACTGATCAGTCAATGTGCCACAATGGATTTGTTGATATATATATATATATCATATATTATATATATACCAGCTGCTTCCAACGGGTCACCAATGGACAACCCTACACTACATATATGTCTCCATTAGTGCTCGGGGCCGACGAAAAGGACATTTTGGTGAACTGTACACTCGCGAAAACTGACATAGACCCTGACGTCCTGGTCCCAAGGAAGACGATTTTCCTCTACCAACCAGGGGTTTCAGGGTCCATGTTAGTCGTCTTTCAGGGTGTGAGATCAAATTGTAGGCTGAGGGCCCTTGGCCACGCACAAAGAAATTGTGGCAGCACGGTTGCCAGCGACAATGATGTCCTGAAAGCGAGGCAGCTAGCTTTGGCAGGGCAGACGCCGATCTGGAATGCTTTTGGCCAGCTTCAGGGTTGATGGCGGACATCCTTCGTTGAAAGGACCCAGTCCATTGATTGTTGTGCCAAGGCATGCAAACCACCTGCTTAAAAATATGCGACTTTTCAACTTCTTTCAACATGCCACCCAGCTGTTTGACCCAAACATGTCTCAAAACGTGCCACCTCCGGCATCCATTGCCACCAGTTCAGAACTGCTGAGCATCCATCCGTTCGACGTTTTCACCGGCAAAATACGCGGAGGTGTCTTGTGTGTGCCACTCACTGAGCGGAGCTACAGTCGGGAATCCGACCCTAGAAAGTGTGGCTATGGCCAAGAATGTGTTGATTGACAGGATCATGCTTGATGGACCCAGTAAAATTGGTTATTTCACCGCCTTGACTAGTGTTTCTTCTTTAATGACCAACTCCAGCAAAATGAGGTCATCAGGGTGAGTTGTTCATTTTTGAGCCTCGCACCTACACACCTACCATGAGCTCATGAGTTTTTCAGGCCATGGGATTGCCATATTTGCCTACATTGGAGCGGTTTGGGGATTGAGTACATGAAGTGCTTGGGAAAGGATGTCCTTATCAACCTGAAACCTGCAAAGTTGGCAAAAAGGTGTCGGTTTTGCCTACGTCGAGTGGTTAGTGCGTTGGGGCGGAGCGGAGTGATCGAAAGGTGCCATGGTAGGCGGCCTTGGCACAGATCCCCCCAGGCCACAGCTTTTGCCCATACCCACACGGAGTGGTAAGAGATATGAGAATGTGCCCAACCCAGCGGTTTGTATCGTGGAAGGTTAGGGGGCCACAACTCAGACTTATAGAACACCAATTTGTTTACACTCAGATGTTCCAAGCTGTGAACATCTTACAACCGATCTGATAGGCTGTAACCAACTGCCTCAAACCCAGGATTGCTTTGACCTCAGGCCCCTTTACTTTGTATAATTCACCTCGATCTCACAATCCACCCAGCCTTTGGGTGCTTGCCGTGGAGAATGAGGAGACATGCACCTTTGCGATCCCAAACCTATCGGCTCCAGGTGCCTCCTTTTCGGATGGTCTTGACGGGTGAAAGTACGTCCAGAGACGTGGCCCATGACGGGCCTCCGATTCGGACGTCTCCTGGACCCCGTGTAGGAACCGTCTGGGCCCGTTCATCGTTTGGTCCCCAACCGCAGGACTCTCCCGCCGAGAGGAAGCTCCATGACTCTCCAAACTCCATGACTCTCCCGTGCACATGACTCTGACACATGAAACACCTCCATTTTTCTTAGGGGTCCATGCAAGTACCTTCTCAGACGGTACTTGTAGCCTTAAAACCTACATGACAGTGTCGAATACATCACCCTTTGAGAAGTTACTTGGATCCCTAGGGATTATCATCAACAGAGGTTAAGCAACCTGAATAAAGGACCCGTTTGGCTGCATTAGCCTGCTGGAACAGTCTTTTTGTGGGGTTCTTCAACCTCCGTTGGCACTATCAGGTCACTTCTGAACTAATGAGACACAATCATTATTTTCCAAACGCGTCCATTATCATCCACGTAATCTGGCGTAACTTTCGACCCTCCAGCGATTTCGGTCACCTCTGAGTCTTCGCCAGGTGACCGTGACCGCCGCGGCGACGACCGCGACCGCCACGGCGCCGCGACGCGCCGGGGCGAGGATCGCGAGCGCCGCGGCAACGACCGCGACCGCCGCGGAGAGGACCGAGGCGGGGCGGCCCTCAGACTTAAGGAGTGAAAAGCCAACGGAGATTGCGACCGTGCAGGCTGACAATGTAGCACTCTGCACTCTTGATTAATAAGCCAATATCATGTATGAAGAGGAACTGTCCAATTCAACTGGGGGGTTTACCGATGAAGAGTCTTACAAATTTTGTTGGGGACCTGAAAGTCACAGAGATGGCGCCCCCCTCCAGTCACGAATCACGACCCCTGTTTATGTTGCTGGTGTCAAACACCACAACTCAGAAGCAGCACCTAGAAGGGGGGTGTCACGATCGAGGACCCTGATCAGTGGGGTCCCAAACGGATTACCAAAACCTTCTACAGGTCCAGCTAAGCCTGATTAATTCAGGAGTGGGAATCTTTCAGTTTTGGATGATGTAAGTTGGGTAATTATTCCAGGTAGAACTGTGACAGGCTATTCTAAGCTATTCTAAGCTACCCACCCGATGCTTCATGATGCCTTCCCTCATGTTAACCCTCGACAGGTCGCGACGGCCGGGAGGGCCGTGGTGGCGATGAAGATCGTCGGGCAGCTGAGAGGATGTGGAGGTTCTTCAAGTCGCTGAAGTTGAATCGGAATGGCCTTGACGAGTTGGACGGAATGGCCTTGAATGTGGAAGTTCTTCCGATCCACATGAGACGCAGTTGCATCGGAATGGCCTTTGGATATCTAAATTAACTACACTCTGACTGTCTCACATCACATGGTGGAAGTGGATGGCATGGCCCCGAAAGGAAGACTTTCCTCTACAAACGGTGGGTTTTCCACTTCCATGTGTTCGTCGGAGTGTATCTATGGCTCCAGTCGTACCTTCGAGAAACGGAGGTGCGACTGGAGCCCAAAACGGGACATTGGATAGTCCACCGGTCCACCCTGCCCCAGGCCCAACCGGTTCCGAACCCAAAAACGCTGCCCGGCTCAAGGTCCTGACCGGCGCTACGCCGCGGCCACCACGCCCACCTTGCGACCCAGGCGCGGCAACGGTCACCCGGGGTGGTTGGTAGTGTCAGCCGGCTCCTGTAGGCACAACTCAGATTGCGATGACGTCAGTCTTCGGGAGAACACTTTTGGAGGTGATGTTGCGAGTTTCTTGAGCGGCGGAACCCCGGCTCCAATAGCCCTCAGACTCTACGGACCCTAGGGCCCCAAGTACCATCTAAAGAAGGCGTTTGGGGTGGGTTTAGAGGGTCCAAATACCTTCTGAGGAGGCACGACTGGAGCCCTAGCGCTATGGATTTCTGCATGATGTTTTCGAGTTACTTTTTTTGAAATACATGGCCCAGCTCGGGGCACCAAAAGGCTCTGGGCCTGGGGTGTTGGCTCATTTTTGTATGAGGCCAGACACCGAGCAACGCCCCGAGCAACGCCCAGCCACTGAGCTGTGGACCGAGCTGACATCTTGACCCATCGGGTTGGGGTGGTTGACAAAAAGCGGTTCGAAAGGAGTCGATGTAGTATAGAATAGGCATAATTACTTGCCCTGGACACTGGAGCCAACATGGAAATTGAAAAAACAAACCGGCCTCCTTTTGGGGCTATGCCATCATATGCCATCCACTTCCATGTTAGTTCCATGGAGTGAACGATGTATACCGTATGGGCCCTAGGGCTTGGATCCTCTAAACCCACCCGAAAGACCTTCTTAGAAGGTACTTGGAGCCGTTGGAGCCCTAGGGATATATATAAATTCCACACACGGAGTGTTTGGGAAGTGAGCTGTTGGAAACCTTTGAACTTCGATCTTCCTTTGTCTGGACCCATAGATCTCCCGGCGGGGTCCATGTGGTCTTTCAGGTGGAGCGAGACCCTTATTTTTTGTGGAAAACGGGGTTCCTTTTCCTTACATGGGACAAAATATGGGACTCTAAATGGATGACCCTTAGTTTCATCAAACCAAGCTATACCCTAGGGCTCCAGGCCCATCTCCTCAGTTGGGTACAGACCCCCCCCTGGCGACTAAACTAAGCCCACCAGAGGCCCGGCCAGAGGCCCGGCCTCCCCTGGTCTTCAGTCGCACCCTTCTGTCTTCAGCCGGCCTTCGTTCCGCTTCACCGGTCGCCCCCCGTCGACAGGCCGGGCCAGGAGGAGCGTGGAGGCCGGGGACCGGCGCGGACGTACATGCGTCGCCCGCGGCGGAGAGGAAGAACACAAATCATACAAATAGGCGTTGAGCAAGTGAACCTCGTAATCTCAAGTGCACTGAATATGCCAAATGGTCAACATGACGGCAGATATTATGGGTATTATAATGTATTATATGGTATAGATTGGAAGCCCTAAACCTTCCCCCAAAAAAATGTAGGCATATGCATCTGGCATGCATACCATGACATGAAGTGTTTGGGTTTTCGGTGTTGCAGTCCCAGTCTCCGATGTAGGGAATCCACGGTCACGGACACCCACCGAAGCAACCCACGGCACGTGTGAAGATGGGAACGCTGGGACTGTGTATATGGTAGTCGATCGAAAAGTCGACATAAGGCCTATGCCACTGAGAGCCTCTTCAAGAAGAATGGCCTGCCAGCAAGAAGGAATTTTGATCAACCACCACATATATATATATATATTCATTTATTTATACATAGAGAGAGAGAGTTCTGCAAGTCATCCCTGTTGAAGGAGGTTGGGCTCTAGGTTGTTTTTGACGGAGCATCGTGTCCCACCGGCTGTTTCTTCCACCGGTATACCAACCAGACGCACCACTCATCTACTTCACACATCTTGGCTGACCAACACACATGTATCTCCTGCGGCCTGCTTGTACCCCTACCACGACAGGTTAAGGAGTGCCAAGTGTCCATTAACCACCAGAATCCATGTACTTGAATTACTTGAGGCTGTTGATGTTGCTTTCACTTTTCGGTGCTAAAACATTGCCATTGAATCCAAGCATGGCTTGACAGGGCCATCATCCATTGGCGCATATTGGCGCTTTTCCATCGCTGTGCCAATGACAGGATCGTCCAAGCAAAGCCTATTTGTTGCTTGATCTAGTTATATATAGACTGTGCAGAGGAGGGACGCCCGGCAGGGACTTCAAGTCTTTTGAGACTGCTTATCCCCAGGGTCTTTGTATGTCCATCAGAGCCTCCCGCAGCACCGAAGCGCGCCTCAAATCCCGGGGGCCTCCCAAACGCGACGGTCCTTCTGGGAGACAAAGGCGTGCCAGCACCTGCGGGGCGTGGGGGTGTCGGGGGCTGGGGTTGTTGTATGCAGCATTTGAAAGGCGAGTGCGCTGAGTACACCCGCTTAGAGGTACCTGAAAATCATTCTGTCGGAAGGTTGATGTTTGAGTTTCGCTTCAATGGGGATGTAAGTGAAGAGAAACTGTGAAGAACTGGAATGGATGTCGGAATGCTTGTGAAGAGGTGTTTCTGCCATAAATTCAAGCATTCCGTCGACAGCGTGATCCTGGACTATGTCCAGAGAGGTCATAGTATCGGAGCCTTTTGCGGCTGGACATGTGCAATCTCTGGACCTTTCCAAATGTCCAAACATATGCAGTCAGTGCTTTTTGCTTCAGCCCTTGTGCAGTGAGAGAGGTTTGTTTGTTTATTTGTTTTGCCAGGTGCGATTGTTGATCCAGGATAGTTCTCATGCACTCTCTTTGAGGGTTCTATGCCCCTGGCTGTGGAACCACAAAGATTTCCCGTGAAAATGCAAGGTGTGCTGATGACCATGTTTTCCCACCAATCAAGCATCTAGACCCTTTTTCGACCCAAAATGGCCGACTGCACCCCCTTCTCCCTGCCAAGAATGACCCCAGATCTGGTGAATCGCCTTTTCTGTTTGCCCCTCAGATCTAATGTTGTGGCTAATTAGGTTTGTTTGCATGTTTCTTTGTACATCATGACAACTTTTCTACCGCACCGACCTGAGTGTCTACGGTAGTGCTACAATACGTAGCTGGCAGAGATGTAACAGATGCAAGTTTGAGACTTCAGACCCCCTTTTGACCCAGGTGAAAGATGGGCCGCTTAACGGTCAGTGTGGCGGCCTTAGAGGACGCGGTAGGACCAACAAAACGGGTTTTGTGTTGAAGCCCTGCCTTTTGATAACCAAGACTTGTGTTGAAACATGTGGACACCATGCAGAGATGAGACAGCTAGACTCAGCTAGATTCTTGCAGAAAGAGGGGGGATCAACATGCAGATCTGACAGATGAACCTATCCAGATTTGTTCAATATATCATAGCTTTGTGTTGTGCTACATTGCTGTAATTTGAAGCTTGGGGTGTGGAGTTCGTTTTTTCATGACACTTCACCCGGTTGGGCGGCTGGGACGGCCTTTCCCCGTAGGTCCAGTCTGACGAAATAAAGCCTGGAAACCTCATGGAGTGGTGTTTTTGCATGAGCAACTCGAGCAAATTTGAGGTCAAACTGGTCTGTAGGCTTTGCTTTCTTGGACGGCGGAACCGCAGGCCTACTCAAAAAGGGTAGTGGTGCGAGAGGTTGAGCGAAGCGGAACACATCGTCCTCGGAGGGTTCAACTTCCACGTGCCACTTTTTTGGACATGCAAGTGGAAAGCAATCTTTCCACTCATGTAGGCCAGAGAGGATTCCACCAAGACATAAGATTCAGGTCTTTTGCCGGCCCCATAAGAATGTATGAGAAGAACCATGCGGACTGAACTTCATTTATCCCTGGTACCAGGCTCAGCCAGGCCCAGAACGGAACAAAACATTGAAGAGACAGGGTTTGCACAATCTAAATCCTGGTCCGACCTGGTTTTGGTAGATCAAGGTGTCGGGAGTTCCACTGTTGGGGGTCACAGACATACACTCCCCAACATCAACGTGGGCTACCGTGGATGTGGAACCATGAGTGCAGCCCACTCCACTCCAACAGAGGTTCAAGAACCCCCATCAATGACCATTCCCAATATAGGTACCCCAGCAATTCGGGTCCTATTTCAGGTCACGCCTATATATAGAGGTCTGAGGTCGACTTCTCTTGGGTGAGTGGATAGTGGGCCGCTGGCACGCTCCGACTCGCGCTCCGCGCGTGACGCGCCCAGATCCGACGACGGGCCTCGGTCGAAAGCCCAGCATGGGGTGTTGGGTGTCTTTGGGAGGTCTCCTCATTGAAGACACACAGCCAAACTGCATCTCAAATGCTTTAGGAGGGTTCTTGTAAAGAACTGAGTTTTCTTTTGAGCTTGTGTCACTTGCGAAATGATTCTTTAACATTTGTGAGTCCCAGAGTAGAAGGGTGATAAATCAATATACTGTATATATATATATATCCATGTGCCCTCCCACAAACACATCACCCGCAAAGCGGGGACTTCAGCACCGGTTTTGCAGTTGGAACATGGGTCTTCCAGGTGCCCATGCCATTCGGTTTGCGGGAATCCTTATCTCGGTCGAGCCTCATTCTACTGGATGGATGGATGGATGGATGGATGGACGGACGGACGGAGGGATGGATGGATGGATGGATGGAAGGACGGACGGACGGACGGACGGATGGATGGATGGATGGATGCCCCACTTTTGGGAGTGTTTTGGAGGGTCCAGGGGGTTGTGTCAGTGCTATAGCAGGGTTCATCGCACAGAAGCGCAGAACCCTTGGTAGAAGATCCTTGCCACTTTCAGGCTGAAAGTTGAGGTGATGAGAAAAACAGTGCAAACAGAGAGTGCCCATGGTTTTCTTGGAGTTGACTACCTGTTTGGGGTGGGATTTCATGGTCAATGCCATCCACGCATGCGTTGGATTTCAGGGGAGTCTTCGATTCCATCGGTTCCCAGATCTTCGATTCGCCTCCTCCGGACGAAGTCGTCTGCGTCAAGTTCGGCTGCGCGTGCGCAGCTGATGCGCCTCGCCTCTGAGGCATGCGATCGGTCCTCCGGGTTGTCCTTAGGGCTTCCCCCAGAGGTGGAGCAGAAGTGGGGCGTCCCAGGAGAGAGAGAGAGAGAGAGAGATCGCAGGTGCGACGATCACTCCGACGTGACGCACATCCCCGGTGCTACGAAAGTATGGGCTGAATTTAGACCAAAAGATGCACACAAAGCTTCATCAGAAACATAGGCCATTGGGTTTTTGCATGAATCAGAAACCTGAAGGTTGGTACACATGAGTCATGAGTTCGGTTGAGACCTTTCCTCATCTTGCTTGGTGCCCGGTGCCGTGAGCACGACCTCCGAGATCCTCCGAGCACGTCCGAGCCACGCTTCCCACGGATGAGCAGGTCTGGTCTAAACATGCCATGAGGCCATGGGCCATGATGAATTGGTTGCTCAAAGAATTGGTTTGTGGATTGAGGGTAGGTTGCAATCCCCCGAGTCTGGAGGTTTATATAAACCCCATCCAAAAGACAACTTGTTTTTGTTCCATCTCCTCTGAAGCCACTGTACAGCCCAGTGCAGCCGAGTGCAGCCTCGAACTGTCAATGGGTCGACGGCAGGAGTTCAGTGGGTCGACAGGTTCTTCTTTGCCACACACCTTCCCTAGAATTCCAGTCATACCTTCCCAGAAGGTACGACTGGACGCTTCAAATCTACATGACGTGCTGTCGAACACCTCACCGTACCTGAGAAGATACGAAAACGGATCCCTATAGGGCTTCAGGTTCTTGTCTCCTCGAAACTCGTGGGACAAGAGGAAGGACTGCTGTGTCGCCCCTGCTGCTGAAGAGCAGTGCTTCGACTCTCCCGAACCAATTCTAAGCGGACGGCCATCAGCAGCATCAAGGAGGGGCAAACATGCTTGCCGGTGTTCTTAGGCACCCAAAGAATGACATGATGTTGAGAACTTGGGCATGTATGGAGGCAAAGGCCCAACAATGAAAGGCATAGATCCCACAAACAGTCCTAATTGCGTGGGTGGTGCACCTTCCTGTGAATCCATTATGTTATTCGGAACGCGTCTGCAGCTTCCATGGGGGTATTTTAGGGGAGGCAATTCCCAAGAACTCTAAGAGAGACAAAGAGAGAGAGAGAGAGAGAGAGATAGAGAGAGAGAGAGAGTGTGAGCGAGCGAGCGAGTGAGTGAGCGAGCGAGTGAGTGAGTGGGTGAAGCTTTTGCGAGGTTGAGCGAGACCATTCTTGAGATACAGCACTCCAATGTGTGGCACAATGAATTGCCGATCAGTT